TATGTTATGATAATATTAAAAAAATTAAAAGTTTGTTTTTTATTGCTTTCTTATATTTGAGAAATAAGAATTAATAATTGAAGCCAATTCAAAAGTCAAGACTATACATATGATGAAATTGAATTTGGATATTTTTTAAAAACTGTATTACTATAGTAAATTAATTGGAAATTGTATTACCATATATGATAAAGATTAATAATACAATCACATGTATAGTCTAAACTATTTGTCAGTATTTTAGAATTAAAAAATTAATAGATTCGAGATATATAATAAAGATAGCTTTGTTAATAATTGTTTTAATTTTTTTTTATTAATCAGTTGATATAGCTAATATTATTTGCCTTAAGATAATTGTTATAAAAACTTTTTTGATTTTTTTATATTTAACTTGATATTTGTTTTTTAAAAGATTGTTTCTTGCAAAGATTTTGAAGAAAGAATAGTTTTTATATTCAAGTTTAATTATAATAGCTTTAATTATTGGTTTTATTTCAGAAGGGACTTCTTTTCTGATATTAAGAAACTATTGAATAATTGCATTAATGTTTTTATTATATTTGTTAACTTTTTTGCACAGTTTGAAAATTTTAGAATATTCTTCAAAAGAGCTAGTTTTCTTAATATCAGTTTTAATAGTAGAGGATAATACTGATTTATCAGCAATTGTTTTATTGATTTTATTTATTATTATTTTTTTTTTTTGTAAATAAATATTATTTCTTTATTTGATTTGTATATAGCATAGTATATATCGTGAAAGAAACAATGAGTTAAATGCTAGCTTGCCTACAGTAACCATATGACTAATATTGAAAGAAAGTTTAAAACAATATATTTTGCCAGATGGCACCAAGCAGCTATAAATACCTACTTAGCATCAGAGGAAATAGAATTAATATTAGCAAATAGAGTTGTTAAGCTATAAATACATTTGGAGTAGTTATATTTAGATTGGATGAATGAATTAGCAACAGTAGAAGGTAGGTTAATGGTAATGTTTTCTTGCGGGTTGTTGGAGTTGTCTTTGGTTTGCAAGGTTTTTTTGGTTTCTGGATTGGTGGAGTTGGTTGAATTATATGCCTTAGCATGGTTCCACTTGATTCCAGTAAGAGGTGAAGTGTTGGCTGTGGAGCAATGTGGTTTCCAAATTAGGTCATACAACAGGGTTAAAGATTCTGTTGCTGCCTTGATCCAGTTGATAGAGGTTGAGGTGGAGACGATTTTGTCTGTGATTCCACATGACAATTCGACAGCTTGCCATATGTGAGAGATCGGTTTGTGATTATTGTCTGGATGGAGTGTTTGGTTGATGGTTTTTATAATTTGTTCTGTTGCTTGTAGTGCTTCCGGACATTTGATAACATGTTAAATGTCTTCAGTGCGGAGCTCGCATCATGGACATAGAGTGTCTGGATATTGGTTAGGATATAGTTAGTGGAGTATGAGGCGAGTTGGAAAAGTTCCCGAGAGCAGTTTAACTCTAAAGGCTACTAGGGTGCTGTATTTGTTGTTATGGAATTTTTTGATGTTTTTGTTGGATTGCTTGATGACTTTTAGACCGTGCGGGGTATGTGTTTGTCCAAACATTTGAATGACTGAGGAGCTTTCACATACCATATAGTCTCTGGTGATGCTGAAAATTTTCTTGCATCATCTGACACTACTGCCTAGGCAAGTGTTGTTGATTAAAGGATTTTCAGAAAAGTGTAGTGGGGATTGTTTAATTGAATGGTTCTGGTTGATATTGGTCTGGATTTAGGTTTGGTATATATAATCTCTATGGATTTCTGTTGTATACTTCGATTTATTCTCTGGGATAGTGAGAAAAAGTTGATTTTGACCATTTTTCTTGGGTATTCGGATATTGATTGAAGAATTTTTTTGTTGCTTCTGATTTCGATGGTGGTGTAAGCTGGAATTCCTTGAATAATATCAAAGACTGCCAGTAGAATATTGCCTGGTGGTAAGCAGAAGTTGAGTGATTTTATTTTCATTTCATTTATAAATAGGTTACTTTTGTGCAATTGAATATGGTAATATTGCTGCAGGCTAAGATCTTGTAGTAATGATTGGGAAGAATAATTGGTAGAAATATTAACTTCTTGAAGAATATGTTTGTTGTTAGGGGGTGAGTTAACAACTTCATCAATTATATTGAGCAAGCGGTATTTGAACCTGTTAAAGGGGTTAAAAAAAATCCATAGTGTGGAGGCTGATATGCTCGTGAATAATATCCAACAGAAACCGTGAGAGGATGTGCCAATCGGGTAGCCAGAACATCTAGTAAGATTATTGTCAGGGTCTATGGTAAAATGTTTGCCTCTGGATAGTGTTTTTCCATCTATCAAACTGTATCTTTTGCAAGTTTTAACAATTGCATTTATATTGTGCAGGAACCAAATGTTGTCTTAGGATTTGGAATTGGACCATGGGTTCCAAAAAGATTTTTGGTATTTACAAATGTTTTGAACCAATTAGGCTCTGGACCCAAGCGAATTATTCCTGTATGTGTAGCAAGTTGTGGCCAGGAAAGTTTGGTGGTGTTATTATATTTTAGTAGTTGATTAATAAACTTTATGTTAAGAGTGTTGGTTGTATTGATTGCTGTCTTTTTAAGTTGTGATTGCATGTTGGTGAATAGAAAACTGATTGAGTTTTTCATGTTGTCGAGATGAAATGAACATTCTGTTGGACAAATTTGAATTTTGAGATTTTTGGCTGATTTTGCAGCGTATAGTATCCAATTTTTCTGGTTGAATTTCTCTGGGTTGCAAATGAGGCAGAACCAGATAGTCTTTTTTGTTTGGATGGTGTGAATATCTTGTATTATATATTTCTTGATGGAGGGAATAGAGAGTTTGGAAATAAGGTTATCTATTAAGGTGGTTCTCTGTCTTTCTTCTAGTACTGTCAGGTTGAGGCCGCTACGGCTAACTAGAATTGTATTGAAACATTTTGATGAAATCTTATATGCTGACTTCACCAGTTGTTGATTTTGGTTTGAAGTATGCTGAGGGTTATTTTGTTAAGAAATGAGGAGAGTAGAAAGTACTCTAACTTCTCTATAATAATCCAGTCATTAATTTGTTGTTTAATTTCTCCTTTCCAATTGTGTTTAGTTAGTTCTTCGATAATTTGTGATGATGTCTGTAGAAATGCTCTTCTGTTAACCTTATTAAAATTTCTGGGAGAAATTAATGTTCCAAGGTATTTAATGCTTTCATATAGTTTGAGGATTTGAATATGGTGGTTGTCGAATTTGATAGTATTTTGAGTCCCTTGCTTTACTTTAATATTGTTAATTATTTTTGTTTGTCTTTATTGCATGTGATGTTGTTTAGTGCGAAAAATTGGTTGGCCACACTTAGAAGATTTTCCATTTTTTGTTTGGAGTCTGCAATGAGTGCTAGGTCATTCATGTATGTGAGTGTGTTGGGAGCCACATATCCTCAAACTGAGTTGTGTTGTGATAGTTTAGTGACCAAGGGGTCATAAAAGATAATCCAAGTAATTGGTAATAGTGTTTTACCTTGCTCTATACCATTGTTAACAATAAATGAATTGGTTGCTCCAAATGGTATATTGATAGATACTTCTCTGTTGCTTAAGATATTGATAAGAAGATTGTTAATTTGTTCAGGACAGTTGATTCTTTCTAACAATTTTTTTATTGCTAATATTGGAGCTGAGTCAAATGCTTTAGCACTGTATTTTATATATTGTTGATGAAAATTTTTTTGTTTTTTAATCATTATGTTAACTAGTATAGATAGATTACTATAATTTTCATGATTTAATATATTTTTCTATATAATATTTTTTTCTTTTCTCCAAGAATTCTCAAAACGCCTATATAGTTTTGAACGGCGCAGTAAATTCGGAGCGCCGTAACTCAAAAACTATGTTCCGAAGCTTCTTTGAGATTCTAAGCAACTATTTGTGAAAAAACTAGAGAAATAACTTTTGTTAAGACCTCGAAAGCGACTGTCTTACTGATATCTTGAGTAATTTCACTTTTTCTCTTACGGATAAGAATTTTCTTTAATGATTATCCCAAGTGTAACAAATAAGTCTCTAGTCAAACCTTTTGTGTAAATAGATGAACTACACATAAATAATTAGATTAGAAGCGACCTACAATTGTTCAAAAACATTATAAAAAGGCTGCATTTTCCCTCAGCTTTGGGGGCGGAAAAAGAAAAAAAGGAACAATTATCATAATTATAAAACTCTGAATTCTTGTATTTTCTTTAATTTTCTTTAATTTTCTTTTAATAAAATTATATTTATCATAAAAAAAAAAAACTCTTTCCCACATCACGCATTTCCAGAAAAAAATTACCATATAAGGAAATAAAAAAAATTTCGTCTTCAAAAAAATCACCCAAGGACCCTGGGGGGTCTTCCTCCCCCAAGGCCTGTCCCAGCAATCATGAGTTCATCTTCTTGGATGTTCTCATCACTGACATTTCAAACCTACAAGCAGTCATAGTTTACAAAAACACAAAAACAAACAAGATTATTGCCTCCAGTCCAGCTACAACCATCAAACTACCACTACTAGGAAACCATCCACAAATTTGGCTCACTCCTGTACGCTCTACTATTGATGGACCTGAAGCCCCAAAAATAATCGCTGCCTCCTTTAAACCTTACAGGAAAAGCACCTTCTCTTCCCTCGCAACCGCCGTCAACATATCTCTTCTGGACCCCATGACAGCCGACGCTTTAAACTTATTTCTTGGATTTCAAAACATCTTCGACATTACGGACAGCGACAGATTAGGAGTGATGAAAGAAATAAGCAGACTAAATCTCAACTACAAGCTCCACATACCTTGGAACAAAATCGATATTCAATTTGACGACACCGAGAATTTTTTTTCTCTAATCCAAAAAACCGAAGTGCCCAAACCCCCTCCAAACACGCCTGCACCCAATGAAGCAATGAGCGACGACAATGATATGCAGGATGATTGTTCTTCTCCTGCAGATCAGAAACACGACACCGTAACTCCCAACACTGACACCAACATAGTAGCACAACATACAGATATGGAAATTGACGAGCAGAACACGCAGCCAAGCCAATCTGAACCAACCAACCCCCAGCTCTCCTCTAACCTAACCTCTTGGGCAGATGAAGTCAATGAAACAACAACGGAAAGATCATCAACACCCTCCACCATCGAAGGGGACATCAGAAAAGCCAGTCCTCTGGACGAACACTCCAAGATTCTTGAACTA